ACTACATGTACATGATGCATACTGTCAGTCGCCAACAAGCACCTGCCAACATTTTTTTTCTCATTCTTGTTAAACGAGATCTAAAATCTTACCAAACGTCTACAAATGGCACATTTTTTTTCCGACTATGTGATCCGATTCTCCGGAAGTGAGACATAGTTTGGGTATTTTTAAACAGAAGACTTTGAAAAGATTGACCTTGACAAGAACGCCATCTTTGATTACCAAGGCAGTAAACTGTAAGAAGGTCACCCAGTCAGCGAATAAAAAAACGCAGTTGGGCATAGTAAACAACATGACAACCGCCGCGTTCTTTGTGTATCGATTCATCATATATTTTAAAGAATGCAGAGGAAATTAATAAAAATTAAACTATTTACTTATGAGGATATTTTCACTTGTAATAAAGTTTTTTGTTTTTTTTTGAAAAGTAGACTCAAATATTTTCAAACACTTAAACTGTACATTTACAATACTAGTAATAGGTTCTTAAAATTTTTAATTTTCATTTCAAAATAATATTTGTGTTCTACATTTAACTTAGTTACCATATGTTGGGGGCACTGTAATTTGTAGATCTATATTTTGAATATTTGCTGAATATATTTCATTTGATCTTTATCATTGTTATTCCTATTTTCTGGCAAATTCTTGAAATCTGGTGGATATGATCAAAATAGAGAAATTTTAATTAAATTAAATAAAGTATTTTCTATCCTCGCAGTAAACTTTTTTTGAAGGAAAGCCCACATGTCTGACCCTGATATTTCTTAATAATCTTTAATTGCAAGGTTATCTTCACAGTTCCCATGACGATAAATTGACATGTTCTTGAGAGCGAAGAAATAGATGTTGACTATGACAAATTTAATAATATGAAATATTCAATCATATCTTCCTGCATTTGAGTTGACCCTATACTAGATAAGTAAGCTAGATTTTTATTGACCTTATACTAAAGAAGGTCAGTGTCAATAATAGGTCTTAATACAGTTAATAATTTATTGTCCTTTATTAACTAGATCACTTTTCAAAATTAATGCATCACCTGCCAAAAGCCTCCATAGATGGTCGTAATGAAAAAAGAATAAAAAACAGCGTTGTCAAGCGGTGTGGTATATTAACCATTTTTACTTCACTAATTGTACATTTTATATTTACTGGGTTATTTTTAAATCACGAAACACATTACCAATCTGGTTATATTGCCTCTACACTGCAAATTCTTTTTTTGAAAAATTATTTGAAAAAGTGGCACCACATATTTTCATAAAAACCTGGCTTTCACTATTTATACACTTCCATATTTTATTTTATTGAAAAAACAGCAAAAAATAAATACGAGACTGTATAAATTAAAAGTCTAATAGTTTGTGATAGATATGCAAAGTTTATCTGTTCACATAAACAATTTTTGTGAATGGTTTGTTAGAAACTGTAAATTTAATTATTTTAGCTGTCATTTTACTGGAAATTACAACTATGTAGTGTATTTTCAAAGCGATTTCAGCATTTTCACATTTTTACTTAGTCTCTTGCTTCTCCATCTGAAACAGTTTTTACGTGCATACCTAAAGTACTCAATCCATTGTCTAATTTCAAGCTTTGGGAATTTTTTTTTATTGGAAAAAGAATTTTATATCTCCATTTTTAGAATATTGATATTTGAACATGACTGTATTGTGCAGAACTAACGGCAATAAATGAACCAATGTATATCTATCACTATCCTCCTTATTGCCATGTACTTAACTTAGTGAGAAGCCAAAGTTTGGACAATCTGTGATTCATTCTTTTTAATTTTATGCATTTTGTATTCAAATCTAATTCTAGTGTTTTTCCCCATGATAGGCACTCCCATGCTTAATTGCCCAGGCAGCCATGCTCACACCTTTACACCTATGTTAATAGGGTGTAATGTTTTCATCTATATTGACCTAGTTACACGTAACGCTGCATAAATTATTATCGCTTCACCATATAAACTGTGCAACAGTTTGAATTTGCCGGGCCTAATGAAACAGACTTATTGTTGAAGGTGGGTGAAGCACAGGAGCTCTATTATCCCCATGATGCAAACAGTTGTGCAACACTACTCTGATAGGCCACCATATTTGTCCAATACCACCATACTCAAAATCATTCTCTTTTTTTTTTCTGCACTTGTTTCTATTGACAATGATGTCTGCAGTCTACTGTAGAATACTTTATTTTCGCTTGGAATTTATTTTCGCTGTTTTTGCTGAAGGAATGATTCAGTGAAAATAAAATCCAGTGAATATACCTTTTTTCCTATATTTTACATTCAACTTGTCAAAAATCAGTGAAAATTAATTCCATACAAAACACCCAAAATGTCCTTTCAGCGAAAATTAATTCCAGCTAAAATAAAGTATTTCACAGTATTATATATAAATCGCTGATCACAACATCAAAGATTATCCCAATGTTGAAAATAAAACTGAACAAAAGAATAAAAGAAATCCAAAAAAATAGTCTCCAACACAACTGTGTTAAAAGTTCAA